GATTGCTCCTGTGCTGTGTCTTTTTCTCTGTGGTGGCCCTGTTGCTTGAGCCTGTCTATTGCTATTTTTGCTTGAATTCCAAGCAGATTTTCTATGCGTTGTTCATTTTTCCCTTTCATGGATTTTGTGTTTTCTTTTGTTCTGCTTTCTTCAGTCTACGACTGCTACATTTCATCTTCTGTCTGGGTTTGCTGGTGATACAGAGCAGTGCTGTCTGCAGCTGAGTGCACTGAGGAAAGTGGTGCTGTATAGTGGAAAGGTTTGGGAAGGAAAAAAAGGACAGGCAATGTGTGAGGGGGAGAGAACAGCTCATCTGGCAGCTGCTTGTTGGCTTTGCAGGAGAATGAAGATAAACCTGCACATCCTGGTGTGACCTTTCCCCTGTGCAGGCTGGAAATCCCAATCCCTAATCTCCATGTGCTTTTGCTTTTAAATTAAATAGTCCTAGCCTCTTGAATCTCTCCTTAACGTTGGCCAACCTCAAATCGCTACCTCTGATCACTTTCACTCGCCTGCTCTGAGCTGTTTGTATTCCTCCCTTGAGAAGAGCTGAAAACACCGGACTGTACCAAGATCTGTTCTGTGGTCCCTTGGCATCGCATTTGTGTAAATACAGTTTTCTAGGCACTGAAATGAACACATCCTGGATATAAACACAGGTTTTTCTGACTGTGAACTACTTGTAAGGGAACTTCTGGCAAGTTAAGGAGATTTTCTTTGGGGACGAAACAGATGGGAAGATGTAGATACTCTGCCTATATCAATTTTAAAAATAGTAATAGGTTAAAAGACTCTTTCATAGACTCAGGATGAAGTTTTTCAATATCCATAGTTAAATTTTTTTTAGGATATAGTGACATAGTGTATGTTTAAGTATTCTTGGTGATTTAGAGTATTCTGGTGAGGAGAAACGGTATAATGTTTAAATGCTGTTTAACTCTGTGCATCTCAGTGTCTTGTCATTGATTATTTTTTTTTCTTTTTCTTCTATTTTCTTCCTATAATATATTCCTGCAAACAGAATGCAGGAAAAAAGATTCCATCTTCACTTACTTGAATTTGACTTTGTAACAGTGCTTTTTGCCTGCTGCTCAAGTTGTATGCAGAGACTGCTTGGGTTTTAATCAGATTTTAAACAGGTGTAAAAATGGTGTCCTTAGCTAGGAGATTCCATCAGCAGTTCTCTTAAATGACCAAGATGTCCGGAGGGTAAAGTTTTAAGTTTTGTTTGAATGCCTTAGCGGTCTGTGAGAAAAGAGGTTTACCTTGGTATTCATTATTGGTGTTTGAGTGCTTGAATGTTGGAAATGCTAAGTTACTCTGTTTTGCCTTCTGAGTGATTTGTTGTATACCTGTAGGGCAGGCTAAGACTCAAATCAATGTGGGTTTTAGGTGGGTCAAGGAAGGTGAGGCTTACAGGTACCTTATTCCACTTCAGCCCTAATTCACCTTCTTGTTTTATTAGAAGGGGTAGTTGTAAATATCTCTAGGGACGTGTTATAAAGCTGCATTAAGCTAGCATTAGCGTCTTAACGTATTAGTATTTAGCGTCTTGTAGTATTAGTGTCTCAAAGGTGATGAAAGTACTGCACTTAAAATATATGCAATATAAAGAGTAATATAAGCACTGTATCTCCTTACTGTGAAATTATCAGGCAAAATACTAAAGCATCTTCTAATTTTTAAAACTGAGAAAGCTCATGCTGCCAGAATAAGAAAGTGAAAGAGAATGAGAAAAAAGAGAAAAGTAAAGTCACTGGGATTAAGGGCTTCACTGAGAGTCTGTTTCTGTGTCCAAATTTCCACAGACTTGGCTTTGGTCTTTTTGTTTCTAGCTGCCTTAAACTATCTTCCTAGGGGACTTAAATTTCATGTAACACTTTGCATGTTTTTTTCAAGTGAGACCTTCAGCTATTGTGCCTCATCACTCTCCGACAGTTCACCTCGGTGTCCGTTAAACATTATGGCCAGTGTTTTCCCCTCTACAATAACTGTGTGCACAGAATGTATTTGTCTTGCATGCAGGGAATATTCTGTGTGGGAACATGATGGAATCATGCTTGTGGCTGTCAGGAGTGAGGTATGCCTAGTGCAAACTTCATATTGCCTGCACTTTTGTCTGTTAGGTGTACGACACTGACTACTTAGCCTTAATTTCTGGAGGGATTAGCATGTACTCTCCATTTGTAAAGCCTGGTTTCCTCAGGACCATGGACCAAATATTAGGTATGTGGTTGCACTGACTGCAATGGAGTTACCCAGGAAGAGCTTCACAGTGGCCTGTGTGAAAGCCCATACAGCAGAGCCTTTCAAGGCTTCAGTGCGTGTGATGCAATGACATATGTCATGAATTAATAGACTGAAAATACTGCAAAAGGTTCTCTGTGTGTAACATTCCTTTAGAAATTGAGGGTTGCTGACTTTCCAGGAATGAGAAATGGCGGTATCTGGGCTCACAAGGATCCACAGAACTTGTCAGGGATTTTTGTTGAAAGTTTAGCTACCTTTCTGTCCTTAAAAGGAAAAAGAGGAAGCAGCTTACATGCCAGCTATTTTACATGGTGTCTGCTTAGAGCTGCTTTCTGGGGAATGTTAGTTTTTTTCCTGCAGCAGGCTATTAGTGGGCATGGTGTGGATACCACAGCCCTGGTGTGGATCCCTGGCCTAGAGCCATGAGAGGGAAGGAATACACAAGTGGTGTTGGTGAGTTCTGACATCGTATGTATGCATAGAAGGGAAATGGGAAACTGTCACCTTTGATGCAGGTGCAACTTCACAATGGTAGCCAATAGACGTTTTCAGATTCTGCAAATAACGTGTGTGGTGTTTAAAGAACAAAATACACAATCATCAAAATGGTGGGTCTTCAAGTGACCCAGGGGGTTTTGGTGAATAGGATCACTGATCCATGTGCAGGAAGACTTAGATAAATAGTCTGGTCATGCTGGTAAGATGTCTGCTCCACAGAAGGGTCAGTTATGAGTTGCTTTACCTGTCAGGGGCTATACATTTCTTCATTAGGTATGCTATTCATAACACCAATCTATGCTAAATGCAGAACAGCCCAAACAAAAAAGCTAGTGCTTGCTCTGTCTTCTCCGAAGTGTTGTTCTCCTCCTTTATGTTAGTTAAATTGCTGTTCCCCAGCAGTGGTTCAGTCTGCACTTGATAAAGGACTCAGTTGCCTCTGCCTTCATTTCCTCAAGCGGCAATCTAAGGGTAAGGATGATTCTCTTGCCAACAGGTTGTAACTAATTCCTGCAGAGTTTCTTTTAAAATGGTGCTTCTGAAGGAGTCCCACTTTCTCAGTATCTTAAGAAGAATAATTTTCTGTTTGGGATGAAATCTAAGAGACAGGAAAGTTAAAACTCTTTGTGTCCTGCTGGATGGCAAGAAACTAACTAAACAATAATAAATTTGAATTATTTTTAATACAGGGTGACTTTATTGGGTCATCAGAAGTAGGCCATCTACCCACAACCAAAATTTTGTCTCTGACTTTTGCTTATTGTCAGCTGATACCAGTTGATTCCAGACTTCTGTTTCTCAGTTACTGTATATTCCTATGCAGTTCCACTCTAAAGGCTTTTTCATTACTTGGAGTGATAGCATTACCTAGCTTAGTATTGTTGACATGGGGAACATTATAAGATTATGAGGAACATTATAAGATTATGGGGAACATTATAAGATTATAATGAAAAAGAATACAACCAAATCATAAATTATAGCGAGAATAAATGGTACACTTCAAAAATTTTCCCAGGACTTCACCAATGGTTTGTTTGTCCCATAAAGAGATGGGTTTGCACAGGAGTTTTCTGGGATTCAAACAGCCTATGGACTTAGGCAGTAGTATAAGCCCTGCCTTTATGTAGTCTGCAAGCAGTAAAGAGACAAAAGAGATCAAGTCTGATTCATAGCGGGTGATACTCCTCTGTTTTAAATAATATTTTCTCAGACTATTTTTAAGTTGGGTAAAATTGTTTTGTGATTAATAAAAATTATTACTGTCTTTGAGTCAGCATTATTCTGTATGTTTCTAAAAAGGTAATTGATACTATTATAGCATCTAATCTGATGCCTTCAGATGGATTGTTTGGTCTGTTTGTGGAATGGCTCAGGGGAACCTTATGTTATAAAACTGTGGCAGGGGAGTGCATGTGATATCCCACAGGATTAATTTTTTTGTGGCATGTTTATGAGAAATTACATCCTCATTTATGTTATGAAAACCTAACATTTGTATGATCAGTTTAAATCATTGCTGCAGCCAAAAGCAGTCCCACTTTTCCCTCCCACATCCTGCAGGGATTTGTACTACAGCAAAAAACTATGGTTAGCTTTACTTGGGATTCTGTGCAAACACAAGAAGAGTGAGGCTGAAAGGGGTCTGCAGATGGAAAGAAGGATACAAGAAAGAATGGACCTGTTGCTTCTGGCAGAAGTGCTGTCATATTCCCACTGGAAGAAATGCGGCATAAATTGATGCTTTAAAACAGCAATGACAGCTCATGTAAATGTAGTGGCTTGTCCATGTTTGTACCTGAGGGGCAGTGTTAGCTTTAGCATACGGGTTGATGATTCCTTTTGGTTTAATCTATTTTGTGATATATCATCAGAAAATCAGAGTAGGTGGATGACATTTGAAAAAGTCAAGTGGCATTTTTAGTTTGTAGAAAGTATTGGCACACATTTTGAACGGGGCTTCTTAAACCTCTGTAGGCAGCTATGCTCCATTAGGCAGAATGCAAAACAAAGATGAAGTTTACCCAGCCTCTGTGAAAGTCAGATATAACCTCCAGGACTCTTTGTCTTCTGGTTCTTTATCTTAACAACCATACTGCCCTTTTGCCCTGATTTAGGGTATACAAGCTATATCTTGTTTATTCACTTTTGCTGTCTTTGTTCCTTTTAAGAATAGCTTAACTGATTTTTCGTTATGAAGTAAGTATGAAAAAATGTATAATAGTTACTTTCTTTACTGTCCTAGCATTGATATGTTAATGTCTCCTGATAAAGAAAAGGACCCGGATGTCGTTCCTGAAGATAGCAGTCTGCTAACTCTTCGGTATGTTGTTACGGTACACCCACAGTACCCTGATATGGGGTGGGGTGGAAAACAAGCACAAAAGCATGGCTGGCTGCTTGTTCCTTTTCAGGCAATGGTGTACTTTCTGAAGCAGTGTCCAGAAATACTGTAAGGGCAGAAACACCAGCTTATGATAGGATAGTTCATATGAGCCTCCTGCTTCAATGTTACTTACGATTTTTTTATTGAGATACACAGAATATGCCATCTTTCTTATGGCGTGAACTTAGGATTTGTCGACCTAGGTACTTTTGAACTAGTGCCTAAATTTGGAGCGTGCAGGGGACTTCTCATAGTCATGTGTGGGAGGTTTCTCCAAAGCCTTGTGAAATAAATCTGTAGCTTTTACCTCTGGTAACCCACAGTCACATTGTACCAACCAATGTGTAAGTACTGAATTTGTACCCACATACCTCTTTGTCTGAACCCACTCTTTATAGAGTTCTATAAAGATACTACTGATGCATATCTATAAAGATACTACTGGTGCATATTAGGGATTGAGCAATATGTGTCAAGTTTCTATCAGTTAGTGAACTTTGAACTCATACTTGGCCAGTTCAGGCCTTTGCTGTACTTGAATTTCAGTTTGCATAGTACTAATGTAAAGAAATGTGTTAAGGTTGTGATCAGTGTTAAGTCTAATCATTACTGAAAACCTGCAGTAAAGTCTGGAGGGTAAACAGACTTTTCCCAGAAGTTAAAAAGGATTTGGTGTTCATGCAGTGGTTAAATACATGTATTTTAGTAGATATTCTATGTATGATACTCTTCCTTCTACAAATGATACTGAAGTTGTTTTTTGAAAATTATCTATGTCATGGTATTGAGAATATTTGTGGGGGTTTTTTTGTTTTTTGCTTGAAAATGAATTGAATTTCTCTGAAGTGGGAGGGATAGTTGAAATGGCTTCCTCAGAGGGACCAAAGTATTCTTTCTTGGAGAGCTGCTTCAGACAACAAGTAATTTGCACATTAGGGCAAGGAAAACCACAAGCTGAAATCCACAAGCCGGCCGGTGTACTACCAGGTTTTATGGGAGTCAGGAGCCAAGAGTATTTTAAATTAGTCTGTCATACAAAGACATCCAGAAATCCTGCTCTTTGAAAGCTGCACTTTAGTAGCTTGTGGTGTTTAAAGATGCACCTAGAGATTCTGTGTGGAAGCTGTTGAATGAAATTTTGTCCTGTGTTCCTGCCCTTCAGAATTAGAAAGAAGGCATTAGAGAGGAGAGAAGAAACAATCATTGTGGATCGGGCTTGCAGACAAGAAACTCTTGCTTATGAGATGGTAAGTTCCCTGTCATCTTGTAGGATCTCACGAGAGTTCAGCACAGTTAAAATCCAAGTTCTGGTTGCTTTTTTTTTTTATCACTATGAATCTCTGTGCACTTTAAATGTTTGCAGATATGAGTTTGCAGGTAATGAGTAAGATAAAAGACATTTTATGGAAAGATAGGACAGGAACTCTGCTCTTACGGTCTGTTAGTACCGAATGTAGTAAGGAGGAACTCCAGCTCATTACCACTGTATGACTGCTTTTATTTGGATGCTACTAAAGCATTGTGTAGGGGATGAAGTGTACTGAGCATCATGTGAATTTATTGCAGAGCTAGACAAAATGCATAATGTTTTTGCTCCTGGAATCCTGTCTTGGAATCTAAGCTTTAGTGTGTAAATGATTGTAAGCTAGTTTCTGTAGGGCTGAAAGAGGAAGACAGTAGGAGCATGGTGGCAGTAACTTCCTTATTCTGAGCTTTGTAACGCAGGTTTCTCAGCCATTCTGAGCTGTCAGGAACCAGGAGTGTATTGATCAGTCCCTCAAAAGCCGTATTGGAATTCCTTTAACTATGCTTACTACCTCTTTTTTTAAGACTTCTTCACAACCTTTAAAGTCCTAGACAGGAAAACTTAAGTTCGTAATTTTTGCAGTGCTGGAGCCTGTGGCTTGAACAAGCAAGCCATGAACTACTGTAAAAATTGGGGCCAGAGGTGTAGTGAGGAAGGAGCCTCACTTGTGACTATTACACATTTTTTTCCCTTTGAGGTTTCCTGGTCTGTCACGAATGGTCTTGTTTCAACTGTCCAGAGGCCCAGGCATATAATGTAAACAGCATGTATCAGCTGAGATGCAACAACTGTGCTGGGCTTTTAGCCTAGGGCATATCTGGGGAAATATTTGCAATAGAAATCTTTATAAAGGGTTTCAATGAGTAGTGTCTTATTTCTGTTTTTGAGGAATGAGCATGTGGTCAGTTCCTGCGTCCTTTAAGCAAGCAGTGGTAACTGGTTTGTGTGTCAGAGCTATGGGATCACAGTGTCCTAGAACAGGATGAGAGCAACAAGAAACATGAGTTTGGAATGTGTCACGTGAAGAAGGGAGGTGCAAGGGATAGAGCATAAGTGTCTCTGAACTGAAGTCTCACAGCAGTACATGCTCCTGCTCTTAAATCTGAAGAACACTTCATGCTGGTGGGAAGTGTTTGTGCAGTCAGTATTCTCCCTTGATTCGTTGAAAAAGGAGGGAACTGACTGCCACAGAGAAGTGCCCTCCCTCGTTCTGACAGCTGGGCTATGCCTTAAAAACAAAGTAGGATGGAAATGTGGAAATACTTTCACTTCTTTTCTAAAACATAGTAGCGTGGTAAGGGCATTGCTGGATTTTGGGTTTAGATTTTGGAGAAATTGAGACCTCAGCTATGTCAAGCTTCTCTAACAAGATGAAGCGTTGCACTAATTTTGATTTTCATATACGTCATTCTATGGCTGCTCTCTAGGTCAGTCTTTCTCAAGTTGAGGGTTGCAATCCCCCTTGATATGTGAAAGCATTCAAAGAGCATTTCAAAACATTAAGTGATGGAAGTTGGTAGCAGCTGGGTTCTAGAGGGCAGAGGGGCAGCAGGCTTTAATTCTTTCATACAGGGCCTCTCAGTAGCCAAGGAGTAGCCAGCTGTCTCGTAATTACTGAAAGCATCTCAGCTTCTCCAGAGCTGAGGAATGAAGGAAAATGCTTGGAATCAGTAGTTATAGCAGTTTCTCATCTTTCTGTCTTGGAGGAGGTAGGCTGTTACCAATTCAGAAGGCTACACAGTCAAAAATGTGTTAGTTAGAACAGCGTTTCTCAGACTTTTATCTAGGGGCTATGATATATATATACAAAAGTGGTTGCCAATATGACAAATTTATATACATATATATATGTTTATTTTTCCAGGAGTCACATGCAATTGGAAAGCGGCCAGACAATCCAACAGATCTAGTTGAGGAGGGAGAACTGCTTCTAACTGTGAACATCTTCTATCCTGTCATATTTCAGAAGGTTGGTACTAAATTCTTCTAGGTTGTATTCTGATATCTTTTCCATACTCAGATAATATCTTGCTTTCCCAAGCAGTTAAAATCAGTGTGTCCATTGAGGGAGTGCGGTAAACCCTTCAACTGTGGTAACTTTTTCAGGCTTTTTCAGAATATGGCTTTCATTCTGTTAGTGGTTTACAAAAGGAAATTTTTGCAATAATTACTCAGCAGTTAATTAATTTCACAGAAAGCTCAAAATCTGAAACTAAATACATGAAAACTAAAGTGCTCTTTCTGGATTTTGGATGAGTGTGCTCAGACTTTCTGTCTTTCCTGTGCTTTCTGCTGGGGAATGTGACTTTTGAGTGTTTGAATAAAACGAATAAATGGCAGCTTTAGGAGAGGCTGAGGCAAGATGCTGTTAAAAGTCTTGTACAAAGAGGTGATGTGCCATATGCTGCCATTAATGACCTCAAGCTGTCAACTGAAGAGCAGTACTGATGCTGAGAAGTGATTTTTATTTGAAGCTTGTATGCCGTTTTCTTTGTAGCATAAAGATCACAAACCATATCAGACAGTCCTTGTACTGGGCAGCCAGAAGCTCACCCAACTGAGAGACTCGATTTCCTGTGTCAGTGACCTCCAGATAGGTGGTGAGTTCAGCAGTCAGCCAGATCAAGCACCAGAGCACATCAGCAAGGTAAAGCCTTCTATGTGGAACCCTCTACATGTGTAGGAGCTTTGAAAACTTACAGGAGAGAGAGAGAGAGTGTTTTGTTTTATTTTTATTTCAGCACCAAATTCAGCTGCATTGGTTCTGCCTGTGGGTTGCACTGCCAGTAAATACTTCCTGGTGGCATTACTAAGCTGACGTATTTTGTGCAAAGTCAAGTAAAACATCATTAATGCTGCTGCTGTGAAGTAGTAACACTGGCAGTGAGTTCTTGCATAGTTGTATCTCTGTAGACTGATTGCTTTGAGCTATATTCTAAAGCACCAGCAGTAATAGAAAGCTAAATGTAGACTATCCCCCCTGAACTTACATGCTTTGTTGTTTGCAACTGGGTGTTGATCAAAAGTAGGAATGAAGATTATTCCCCTCTCTCACAATTGCCAGGTGTTCTCTGGGGTTGTACAGAAGTGATCAATAAAGAAAATTACTCTAAATGAAAATACTGAAATTGCATTGTTTTCATAATGTGTCTTATATACTGTATATCATATCACAGAATGGCTGAGGTTGGAAGGAACTTCTGGAGGTCAGCTCGTCCAACCTCCTTGCTCAAGCAAGGCCACCTACAGCTAGTTGTCTGGGACTGTGTCTAGACAGTTTTGGGGTATCTCCAACGCTAGAGATTCCACAACCTCCCTGGGCAACCTGTACCACTGCTTGGTTACCCTCACAACAAAAGGTGTTTCCTGATGTTCAGAGGGAACCTCCTGTGTTTCAGTTTGTGCCCATTGCCTTTTGTCCAGTCACTGAGCACAACTGAAAAGACCCTGGCTCCATCCTCTTTGCACCCTCCCCAGAGGTATTTGTGTATGTTAATAAGATTCCCCAGAGCCTTCTCCAGGCTGACCAGTGCCAGGTCTCTCAGCCTCTCTTCGCAGGAGAGATGCTCCAGTACCTTTATCTTCATGGTCCCTTCTGTCTCCACTATTGCCATGTTTGTCTTGTACTGAGGACCTCAGAACTGGACACGGACCTTCAGGTGTGGCCTCACTAGTACTGAGTAGAGGGGGAGGATCACCTACCTCAACCTGCTGGCAATCCTTTGTCTAATGCAGCACAGGATCCCATTTGCCTTGTTTGCTGCAAGGGCACATCGCTGGCTCATGGTCAACTTGTTGTCCACCAGGACCTCTTGCTCCTTTTTTGCCAAGCTGCTTTCCAGCTGAGGGCCCCCCAGCGTATATTGTTGCATATGGTTGTTTGTCCCCAGGTGCAGGACTTTGCGCTTCTCCTTGCTGAACTTCATGAAGTTCCTGTTGGCCCATTTCCAGCCTGTTGGTCCCTCTGCGTGGCAGCACAATCATCTGGTATATCAGCCGCTCCTCCCAGTTTTGTGTCAGCAGCAAACTTGCTGAGGGTACACTCTGCCTCATCATCTAGATCATTAATGAAGATGTTAAACAGAACTGGACCCTGTATTGAACCCTGGCGTACTCTGCTAGTTACTCGCCTCCAACTAGACTTTATTCCACTGATTGTCATCCTTGGGGCCCAGCTGTTCCACCAATATTATATATTATCAATTAGTATGTTATGAATATCAAAATATTATCAATTAGTTTATTAATATTAGTATGTTACACAATCTGAGAGAAACCAGAGGATGTTACATATTTGTATACATAATAGTGAAATGATGTCACATTCTTGTTTAAGGAGACTGACATCCAGATACTAGTCTTTTCATTTATGTAAAGTAAATGGAAGAGTCTTTCTACCACTGTCTAATAAAGCACTAGCTGATTTGTTCTGAGATCAGAGAGTTCTCAGACTCTCTTCCTGGGCACTCAGAGGAGTCGTGAGGCTGTCATGGCCTCAACAGGGCTGAGATTAGGCTTCCTTACATCAATAATTCCACCAAAGTAAGTGCATGTCCCCATGCCTAGCCTCCCAGCAGGAGCTGTTAATGATTGGTGTGCATTCATTCCATTTATTTGTTTTCTTCAAGCATGATTGTGAATTTACAACTTACATTGAAGCATAGGCTCAGTGTGTGATGAATCTTCACAATAAAATTCGCATGTTGCTTCAGCCATCAGTGGGGTAGAATTTTTCTTCCTTTCAGTCTAGGAAGGAAGTGGCACCATTACCTGCCAGAAGTACGTTAGCTTTTCCAAACAGAGAAAGTAACTGCTGACTAAATAAGGATCTTTGAGACTGATTTAAATCAAAGTGGTGTTCTGAGACTCTGCAGGAAAGAGGCTGTGTAAGTTAGCTGTTGATGACAGCTTTCACTTCAAGTGCAGTTTGAGTACATAGGCTGAGTGAAAGGATCAAGTTGCTGCTCTCATTGGTTAAGTAAACAAGTGTAGCTTATGAGCTGTTACAGAGAGAGTGAGAGACTTTTTGGATTTTATTGGCATAAATAGGCCTAACTTCTCTTTCATTGTGGCTGCTTTTGGGTTTTGTGATTTTTATTCTTCGCTTTTTCTTCATTGGGCAATGATTAATGGGGTGAAATTTAACAAATCCAAATGCTGGATTCTGCACCTAGGACAGAGTAATGCCAGGCACAAGTATGAATTGGAAGAGGAGTGGCTGGAGAGCAGCCCTGCAGAAAGGGTTCTGGGGGTGCTGGTTGACATCAGGCTCAACAGGAGCCAGCAGTGCGCCCTGGCAGCCAAGAGGGCAACCCACATCCCAGGATGCATCAAACACAGTATAAGCAGCTGGTCAAAGGAGGAGGTAATTCCGCTGTATTCAGCACTGGTGTGGCCTCACCTTGAGTACTGTGTGTAGTTCTGGACCCCACAATTAAAGATGGATGTGAAGGTACTTACTTGAATACATCCAGAGGAGGGCACCAAACCTGATGGAAGGGCTGGAAGGCATGTGCTGTGAGGCATATCTGAGGACTCTTGGGTTTGTCTAGTTTGGAGAAAAGGAGGCTGATGGCCAACTTCATTGCTCTCTACAGCTTCCTGAGGAGGAGAAGTGGAGAGGGAGGTGCTGATCTCCCTGGGATCCAGTGACAGGACTCATGGGAATGGTTCAAAGCTGCACCAGGGGAGGTTTAGACTGGACGTTAGGAAGCATTTCTTTACTGCAAGGGTGGTCAAAACGCTGGAAAAGTGGTCTATGCCCCGTGGCTGTTAGTGTTAAAGAGGCATTTGGACGATGGCCTTAATAACATGCTCTAACTTTTGGTTAGCCTTCAGTTGGTCAGGTAGTTGGACTAGATTATTGTTATAGGTCCCCTCCAACTGAAATGTTCTGTTCTGTTCCTTTTTTGCTCCTTTTTTGTTTTGGCTTACTTGTAAACAAACACCTTAGTCAAACCGACATCCAGGGGATGTTTAAGAAAACTGGGCAGTATTGGGGTATTTTACTCCCCAGTAATTGAACAGTCCCTCCAGCTGGTCTTAATCAGGAAAGACCTGACTCAGATTCCCAGGAGGTTTGTAACAGTGGCTCCCTTGGCCTTCTGCTCGCTGTGACAAACAGCTGCTTTCTGAAGTTTGGATCAGCTTTAAGGGACTGGCTAACTCAGAACTGCTGTGACCCACAAAAGTTGGTAAGGAGTTGCCAGAGCATAGTAGTACTTATGCTTTGTAGTTGGAGACCCAAGGAAGGCGATAATAACAGAGCCAAAACAAATTGTCTGAATATAAAACACATTCCTACTGCTGTGCCTTTGTGCAGGTCATCTCCAGTTTTGAGTCCCATCTCTGGCCTCAGTGTTGGAATTTCCTGTCTTTTGACCCCTTAGAGTTAATAGCTCAAAGAGACCTTTGGGCAGAAATGAGCATTCATTCTCTGTTAGTGAAGACCCATAAGACTGGTCTGGGGATCCAGAGTACCTAGTTGTCCACGGTTTTCCCATTTGATTCTTATTTAGTCTGCTTATGCCTCTATACACAGCTTGTAAAATAAAGCATGTCTTCCACTCTTTCTCTGCCTGTTCTTTTCCACTGTGAACTCTTGCAGGTCATAGGCTGCCTCCCTACAGGCATGTAAAAAGTTCATGAGGATTCTGTGACTTAATGAGCAGTAGGCAACTCCCAAGTTACAGAATTGGAGTGAGCCAGTCGCCATGTCAATCGTGGAAAGGAACCAAGCTCCTTGAAGTTACCTTCCTCAGTCATTGTCTGTCTGACCTGCCTGCATGCGCATCTACTGAGGAATAAATATAACCTTTACTTATCTGAGAGCTGGCACACAGTTGTAGTTAGAGGTGTAGAGGTTGGGACCACTTTCCTGTCATAAAACTATTTGTTGATGCATATTGGAGAGATGCTTTATCAAAATGCTCTTAAGGCCCATGAATTAAGGATTCCTTGCAGTTTTTTATGTACTTGAAAATATAGAATTTAAATAGGCTTTGTGCAATACCTAAATGCCAGTGTATAATTGCAGATAAAGGTTTTTTGCTGAAAGGTCACAAAACACTGTTTTTCTTCAAATTGCAATTGAAAATACGGAAAAAATTATATGCTGTAAGTTACAGGTCAACTGAGTGTATATACAGTGTATCTTAGCATCATTTGTATGTACCGTAGCTGTGCACGGTTGCATGTACAGCATGCAGAATGGCTCCCTGAGCAGCAGTCAGTACAGAAATGTTCCAGTCTGAAGTGGTTTGAGAGAGTTTAGTCTATGTCCTTCAACCTGTCCTCATTTCCAGTCATGTATGCTGTGCAAGGTAGCTGACCCGTTCTCCCCAGCCCAGGATAGACTGCTGTGTTAGCTGTATTGCTCTTGCAAGAGAGGTAATTTTTTTTTTTTTGCTATTATTTTTCTTCAGAAAAATGTAATAAAGTATCTGAACAGTATGGTTCCCTGGTTGCTGTGGGTTTTCAATCTGAGGCATCTCCCTGCTTCAAGGTCCACTGCAGAAGGGTGTTTCTTCTTTCCTGTAACTGTTTCTTAAGCTCTGTACATGTGTTGTGATCAGTTTGATAATAGGTACTGCTGTCTGGCCTCAGTCTTTTAGGAAGTTATAGCACAAACCAAAACAGCACCCTCCTATGAAAAAACTTGGAATAGCACAATTTAAAGGTAAAAAAGTTACATGGATAAAAAAGCACTTTTCCTAGTTGTCTTCTCTCTGGTCAAGTTACTTGTTTATGCAAAGGCTGTTTTGACAGCAACAACAGAAGATGGAAATGATGGGAAGCAGATGCGTAACTTAATTAACATCTAAGAAAGGAGTAGTTGTTTAAGTGACATCTGTATATAAATGAAAAGTTTGTATGTTTTTTCCCCTCTTAATTTTAGCTGTATATCTATATATCTTGTATAAATATATTCAACTTCTGTCTGCTACTGTGTAGCTGTTTTAAGTTGCAAAACTACAAACAATATTTTATATAGAATCATAGAATATCTTGAGTTGGAAGGGACCCATAAGGATCATTGAATTCAACTCTCTGCTTCTTGCAGGACTACCTAAAATTAAACCATATGACCAAGAGCGTCATCCAGATGCTCCTTGAACTCTGACAGGCTTGGTGCCATGACCACTCCCCTGGGGAACCTGTTCCAGTGACCGACCACCCTCTCAGTGAAGAGTCCAGCCTCTTGTCCCCCAGTTCATAAATATATAATAAACTCTAACATTTAGCTTTAAGAGAGAACAGCTCTGTGAATGTTGTGCAAGGAGTCTGGATAGGTAAACAGAACAATACTTGACTGTGCTATTTCAACAGGAAGTTTTCCTGTTCTTATTTATTTTTTTAATTCTCAAGGAGATGCTTGCAGCTGGAGTCTGCTTTTTTATGGATGGATATGATTTTACCTAAATAGTTCTGTAGTGCTGTTGCAGAATTTATTACATGTGTGATGGAGGTTTATGGATTAGCTCAGTTTCTGAGATGATTTGGAATCTGGTGACCCAGGTGTACTGGGTCTGGCTGGGATGGAGTTAACTTTGCTCACAGCCACCCATGCTTTGCATTTTTATCAGGACAGGGTTGATGACACACGAGTATTTTGGCTATTGCTGAGCAGTGCTTGCGCAGCCTCAAGGCTGTCTCTCCAAGTCCCCCCAAGGCCAGTGGGCTGGGAGTAGGCAAGAGGCTGGGAGGGGAACATAGCTGAGACAGCTGACCCAAACTGGCCAAAGGGATATCCCGTGCCATATGATGCTGTGCTCAGCAATAAGAGCTGGAGGAAAGGAGGGGGGCCATTCATGGCTAACGGATTTGTCTTCCAAGGCAAATGCTATGCAAAAGTCCTGCTTCCTGGGAAGTGGTTGGATGTAGCCAGCTGGTGAGAAGTAGAAAATAAATCTCCTTGTTTTGCTTTGCTTCTGTGCGTGGCCTTTGCTTTTCTCATTTAACTACCTTTATATCTCAACCCACAAGTTTGCCTGTTTTATTTCTTTCCCCCTGTCCTGTTGAGGAGGGAGAGTGAGGGAGCAACTGGGTGGGGGGTATGGCAGCCAGTCAAGGTCAACACACTACATCTTGCTATTTTTTTAAAATATTATTAGGCTTTTTTTAAAGTCAACGCTGTGCAGTTACTTAATTTGGGCAATGATGCTAAAAACAATGGGTGTTTTTGTAGAAATCCATAACTGTTATGACAGGGATGGAAGTAAGAGAAGAGCACTAAAATAACCTGTAATGGCTTGAGAATAATATCAGCAGAGGAACTGCATAGCTGGCAATTATATAAGCCTTGTTGTCACATCAGCATCAAAACCAGTGCAAAGCTTTTCTTAGAAACCTGTAGAATGAGGTCTTTTAATATAACTCAGATACCTAAAGTACTTGCTTTTTGACACGGTCCTAAGGTGTTTAATCTTTCATAGCACTAATGCAGACATCTCTCTCTTTCTCTCTCAGGATCTCTACAAAGCTGCTTTCTTTTATTTTGAAGGCACCTTTTATAATGATAAAAGATACCCAGAGTGCAGAGATCTGAGCAGGTACAGTATTTGTGGACACTGACTAAGGAAAACCTTAAGGGACAGGAAATTTGTTTCATTTTGTTTATGATTTGTGATGTTCTAAAGACTGGAATGTCTAGCGTATGAAGCTAGAATGGACTTCTCTGACTATCTTTTCCTGTTGAATTGATTCTTGCATAGAAGTTTAAATTTGCTTGCTCTACTTATTCTTTCTGCTCACTTGCCTTCTGAAAAGGGGATGAATGCATTTTCTCCCTGCAAATCCTGTTTTGCTCTGTTGGGATGGGATTGCTGTGGAAGGTGACAGGTGCCAGTCTGTTCTGCCATTTTAAATGCCCTCCCTAGCTGAGATGACCACCAAAGGACTTGCCTGTGAGGTAGAAGATGGATCGGAAAGACAACAAGCTCAGCTGCGTGGAAGTCAGTTGTTCTTCTCAATCTTGAAAATATGCTGAATGCCTTCATGGGAGCACCAACAAGGGGATGGTGTTACTGTTGGGAAAAGAAATCTCAGATGACATTGCCAAGAGTCACAGGTGTCTCTTGTTTGGAACTGTAGCTCACACTGGTTGAGCACCAGTCATACCCATTTAAACTACACATAGTTTATTTTACAAAAGTATGGGCTTGCTGATACACTGGAGAGATTTAGGAGGTCAAGATGTTAAAATGGATGGTATGGAAGAGCTGTGAGTTTAGGCTCTGTTGTTATACCAGACTTGGTGTGTGACTTCAGAGAAATTAATTATTTTCCTCCTTCTCTTTCTGTCTGTGAGCAACAATGATCTTCGCGGAAGGGCTTGTGATAACATATGCAGTTTTTAGAAGTGAAATGCCTTGTATGTAGGAGTGTGATGAAAAGCCAAGAGTCAGAATCATAGAATGGTTTAGGTTGGAAAGGACCTTTAAGATCATAGAGTTCCAACCCCCCCGCCTTGGGCAGGGACACTTCCCACTAGACCAGGTTGCCCAAGGCCACGTCCAGCCTGACCTTGAACACCTCCAGGGATGGGACCTCAAGACCCTCTCTGGGCAACCTGTCCCAGTGCCTCACCACCGTTAAAGTGAAAAACTTCTTCCTAATGTTTAATCTAAACCTGCCCTTTTCCAGTTTAAAGCCGTGCCCTCTCGTCCTATCACTACATGCCCTAGTAAAAAGTCCTTCCCCAGCTCTCCTGTAGGCCCCCTTTAGGTACTGGAAGGCTGCAATAAGATCTCCCCGGGGCCTTCTCTTCTCCAGGCTGAACAGCCCCAATTCTCTCAGCCTCTCCTCATAGGAGAGGTGCTCCAGCCCTCGGATCATCCTCGTGGCTCTCCTCTGGACACAATCCAACAGGTCCATGTCTTTCTTATGTTGGGGACTCCAGAGCTGGATGCAGTACTCCAGGTTGGGTCTCACCAGAGCGGAGGAGAGGAGCAGAATCGCCTCCCTTGACCTGCTGGCCACACTTCTTTTGGTGCAGCCCAGGATGCAGTTGGCCTTCTGGACTGCGATTGCACATTGCTGGCTCATGCTGAGCTTCAATCAGCACACCCAGGTCCTTCTTCTCAGGGCTGCTCTCCAGCCATTCCTCGCCAAGCCTGTATTTGTGCTTGGGATTGCCCTAACCCAGTTGTAGGACCTTGCACTTGGCCTTGTTGAACTACATGGCTTGGGCCCACCTCTCCAGCCTGTCCAGGTCCCTCTGGATGCCATCCTCCCCCTCCAGCATGTCTACCTTGCCAAACCAGTGCCCTTCAGGTGGTAAACTTTGGAAATGTAAGTGTGCAGCTGTCATCTTTGCATTTCTCTTTGGCAAAACCAAAAAAAGCTCTTTAATAGTTTGGAACAAAGTTATTGACTGAGGGAGCAAAAATGACCTGCTGGTAACTTGAATTATTGGAATGCTTGAGAAGCGTTCTGCTGCAAACAACCGACCTGGATGGGTGCCATCAGGAGCATGTACTTTTACTAGAACTCCTTGGGAAGCTGCCTGGTGGGGATTTAAAAGCAGGTGTTCAACAAGAACAGTGCACAGTTCTGTGGGGTTGTGGTATTGCTGTGAAATTATCTTAAATTATTACAAAATGTTGTGAGCTGTTTTGATTTCCATCTTTTTAACTGTGTCCCAATGAAGAGTTTTGCATGTGCCCCAAGGACTTCCTTTTCTGTGCATTCACAGTTTATAGCATTACTATGCTGATGACCTTTTATGTTTTCAGAACAATTATGGAGTGGTCAGAATCTCATGACAGAGGCTATGGAAATCTTCGGTCTGTTAAAATGGAGGACTACACCTTTAATGATTTGTCCCTCAAAATTGGCTTTCCATACCTTTTCTGCCACCAAGGGAACTGTGAGCACATCATTATCATCACAGATATAAGGTAAGTTACTGATCTTTGGTAATCCTTATGCGCTTGAAAGCAAGCCGTCTGTGGACAAACTTCAGACATCAAATGCTGAATATTTGTTAGACTAACTTTAAGATTATTCTGCTGCCTTCTGCAGGCCTTATTTAAGATTTTATTCCATATACATGTGACTACCTCTGCAAGAAAGAAAGAAAGTAATCTCCCTTGCATTTTTATTTTTTTAAATAATCTGCTTGCATAAAAAGACTGCTTTCTAACTAGGATGGCATGACTGTTGTAAGGGAGGAATGGCACCCACAGTGAAAAGCTCTTTCTATGCAGATCCAATGTGCAGCAGATTTATGTACTGATTCTGGAGCATGGAGCAGCAGAATGCTGTTAATAGCTCTGGCTGGAGCCAACAGGACTTGTTAGTTTAGACTTGGTGCTAAGGGCCAGGAACTGAAAAGAGAACAGAGGAGTGCTAATAGTGGGCTGTGGTGGGTGGGGAAGGAAGAGAAGGACGAGGTGATAGTGGCTGTGAGGCGGCAACCACATCAACAGTAGAACTATTGTGTATACTCTGCTAACTGGATAATAGGTAGAGAGAGCACTTCTCTGATTGTCTGCAGTGGGTGACAGATCATTTTCAGTTCCCAGAAGCTTGATGTACCTAAGCATTGTTAGTAAATGGTACCTCCCAAAAGGAATACAACCCAAAAAAGGGCATAGATGTTGCAAGCAGATGATCTCAGGATTATGAGCCTCTAAACATTCATTTTGCGATGTTTTTGCCTGTATGAGATAAAAGCTTTGAAAAGACCATCCAAAGCAAATGATCTGAAGACTTCCGAGTTACTACACAAACTGAATTTACTCCTGACCATAGAATCCACGGATGGTGCAACTCGCAGTCTGTCTGTGTTAAGAAATGCTAAGCAGAAGTCTAGTCGTAGGTTAGACAGGAATTCAAATCATGCCTTATCTTCAATGTCCATGCTTATGTTCAGATAAATTCCAATGTGGCTGAGTCTTTATTGTATTTTATGTGTTTGTTTATTTGCTTCAAGGCTCATTCATCATGATGACTGCCTTGACAGAAACCTCTATCCCTTGCTAATCAAGAAACACTGGTTATGTACCAGAAAATGCTTTGTGTGCAAAATGTATACAGCCAGGTATGCTACATTCTCGATCCTTTTGTCTTCTTAAATAAGTCTTTCTAGATGCTGTTACTAATGTAAAAAAATCAAAGTTCTGTATGTACTTGATCAGGTTCATGAATAATCTTCATGCAAGCGTTCTGAAATCTTACCCTTCAGGCAATTGTTTTCTCGCTCCCTAGGAAAAGGCCTCCTGCAGGTAGCGTTCATTTGGAGATAATGATTCAGGATGATCAGAAGAACAGAAATGATGTAGAGGTTAATTATTTGGCTCAGGTTCTTTTGCATACATAGAACTCGGCTCTTGATAATTACTTTTGAAAATCTTACTTTTGGGGGAGTATGCTGCATTTTTCCCCTGTGACAAGACACGTGCTACAAATTCATTGGCCAGAAGTCATACAGAGCTTTCATTACATCTGGCATCTAAGAAGTAGAGGGAAGTGTGGATCTGTCCAACTTTAATATAGTAAAATCTAGAGATTTTTAAAAGGCATGTAGCTTTCCCCACAGGTAAACACATAACCTCTACCTGAAAACTCTGCTGTGCAGCTGTACTTGAAGGAACATTTTGTGATGCACAGATTTTCTGCAGTTAAGAGAGCAGAATGTGAATTTGATGCTCTTTAAATACTTCAGTCCTGTTTACTTAGACAGCAGAAAGCCTTTCAATAGACATAGTAGAAATTTCTCCAAGGGAGTTCTACAGACTAGGCTAGGCTCCCTGATTTTATAGGTCTGGTTTATTTGCAAAAACACCCACTGCCCTTTTTTTCCCCCTGGGGCAGCTTACACTCTCAGCCTGTTTGACACAGCAGCTGTGTCCTTGTTATCTTACTTGCTTGGCCTTAGACTTCCCTTGAATCAGGCAAAGAGCCAATTCCCCTTGTGATGGGAGCCCATCCTAGTGTTCCTAACAGATCCCCTAGGATGCCTTCATGAGTGCCTATAATCTGTGAGGCATTTGGCCATACGGGGAGGTGGAGCCACAGGGTCAATATGGGGGAAAGATGGGATGGGGAGGGCATTACCAGAGGTGATGTAAATGCATTAAATTAAAACCAGGATTAAGCACTAAGCATAAGTGGGGAGATGCTAAACCATGGATAGCAGAGCTGCTTTGGCTGGCTGTCCTGCGTGTTCTAATCTGTGCCGATAGCATCTTTAATCACTAGAGGCCTTGAGCTGTCATGGCCTCTGAGTGCTACCATAAATTAATTGTGTGGTGACATGGCAGGCCCTCCTTGTACTGGCAGCTGTGTTCATGTTAACTTCAGCGCCTGCCGGAGTGAGCAGCAGTCCTCACCTTGTCTTGTGTGCATCATCCAGGCTCTCCTTTCAGACTCATAAATGGATTTGGTTATTACTCAGAGTAGTTTGGGTCAGTCACGTATGCTCTATATCACAGTTTCTTACCTTAAGGGAAAATTAGATTTATCTTTTATGACTTAAAATGGCCATAGGGTGGACAGAAGATTCCTGTTAATTTTCTTTTTTGGTTGTGGACTGTTGCAGCTACGCAGGTTTGAGGAGTTCCTCAGGAAATACTGCTGTAGCAATGTAAGATAGCAGCTGGGATTGACAGGGAATGGGTGTGGAGTTTGGAAAAGTGCTGTATGCCTGGGGTGGGAGATATGCAATACAGGTAGTACCTGGTCAGTATAACATTAATAGTGATGTTTCTTGCTGCTATTGCCAACTCTGAATAAAATGTTGAGATGTTTGTCACAAATGTGTTGGATTCACATGGAAAACGCTTGTATTGTGTAACCTGCAGGTGGGTAACCAACAATGACAGTCTGGCACCAGAGGATCCTTGTTTCTTCTGTGATGTTTGTTTTCGGATGCTTCATTACGATGCGGAAGGCAATAAACTGGGGGAATTTCTTGCATATCCTTATGTTGATCCTGGGATTTTCAACTGAAACTGACATGAGCCAGAAGGAACTCAATGAACTACACTGGTGAATCTGTTGCTCTGGCTGTTAAAACCACCTGACAGCTTGAGTTTTGAGCATACTACTGTGTTTTGGGTTAGGCTTTTAGTCCTCTCTTCTGAGGTGGAAGGAGACCTTGGAAATTATGCCAGCTTGTTTGATGGCTCCTTATGCTGAATTCTAAGGCAGCAATCATTAGGGGTTTTTTTTTTGTTTGTTTGTTTTGGTTTTTTTTCCTGTTCTTTGGCAGCAGGGAGAAGGAGTGGCCAGAATGTGAATTTATTCTTTCTTTAAACTAATTCTGCCTTGGTATGCTATCTTTCACCCAACCCATTACTTCTTTCCAGTAAGAAAGTATATATTTCAAAATTGCTGTCCCTGCAGATTAAGAAATTTTTTCTAGGGCCAGTCCCATACTTCCAATAAGGCAAAGAGAAGCTGGACACAGTCCGAGTGTGGAAGTTGAGTGCCTCCTGTACTTAACTACGAAACAGAGAAGAACTCATATTAGAAGTTGCTGTTTGTGTGTTCTGGTCCTATTTCATATTGAATGATTCAACTTAAATGACAAATGGGAAAAAAAGGTTACACTAAAACATAGTTTTTAAAGATACTTTACTTCCCAGGAGCTGTCACAGAACAGCTGGGTCTGGTCATGATGTAATGGGTCTTTTTGAATGAGCCCTCTAAGTGAAATCCAGCAGTGCACCCCACTGCCGCTTCGTAGTTAAATTTCTATGACACCAGCTGGATATTTGTGTTTTGGCTGCTTGTTAAGTGCTGTTAGTGTTCCAGTGACCAAAACTTCCAAGCAGCTTTACTACTTTATGATAAAAAATGAGAAAATAATTTTTTTAATAATCCCTTGTCTGTGTGTTGGTATTTATGTCTTTTTTTTTTTTTCCTTTCTTTTTTTTAATATAAATCCCTTGTTATAATAAACTGGATATAAGGGTATGGAGCTTGGAGATAATTCGAGTTATATTTGAATGAAAATTTAAGGGCCCTGCCTGCTGACTTGTGAAGATTTGTGTTGTACTTACCAGGGGAAGCAAAAAGGCTGGAGTATTAAAAACTGTAGTTAAAGCTGTTGAATCTAAAAAGCATTAACCTGAATCTGTGGTTGGCTTTTTGCTTTGATCTTTTTTTAAATGCTTAGTGATTTGGCAGTATGAACCTTTCATTCAAGGTTTTGAACTTACTTGAACTTACTTCAGACTTCTAAAAGGTCTCGTAGATTCTCTCCCTAATGAAAGTTTTTGCCTTGCAGACAAGATGGCAATACAGAACACTGTTTCTTGCGTTGAGGAAGAGGAGAGGCCCCTCTGATTTTACTGCTGGTGTAAAGTTCCAAAGCAAATGTGATGCATATAGGCAGTGTCACTTCCCACTGCTATCTGGGCACTTGTAATTTTATCACAACAGCCCCCTGTGCGTTTGAATGATGAGCAGCTCAACAGATCAGGGCTACACAGTATTTTAAGCTGTAGTAAACTTGACTCTTGAGATAAAGATGCTACTGTCAAAGCTAATTCTGCTTTACATTTTGTGCATTAACTGTGGTTTATTTCCTTTCTGCAATAAGAATCAGTCTTATTCCTCAGAGGCTTAAGCTTAACTGCCTAGTCAGTACTTAGCTGTCAGAAATTGTAGTTGTATCCTTCAAGAGACACAGCTCCTGGACACTCAGGCATCTTGGAAGGTGAGATGACCTTTTCTACAGTCAGTAAGATTCTGTGAATTTAGGTTACTTCTAGTTTGTGAAAGGGCAGTAAATGCAGGCAGTAAAAGCCCAAGCAGCGGAATGGATAGAGTATGATTTAGAGACTTGCAGAATACAATCAACAGCTTCATCTCTGCATTTTTTTACCTTTGTGTGGGAGACTGCTGTATTCAAAATCTTAACTATATTGCAACTAAAACTTCTTTCCATGCTGAGTTTTAACTTCCAGTAATCGCGTAAGTGGATTGTGCTTTGTAAATACAGGCTTCAATATTTAATCATTACACTTTCTAAATGCCTGTAGATTGGTACTTTAATTTCCCAAGGCAGCCAGCATGTTACTACAAAGTGCTACTGTAACTGAGTTCCACAGTGTTCCATGCAAAAAGTCATTTATCAGCATGCTGCTTTGAGCAGCAACACAGAGGCCTTTCCCCAGGCACTCTTCACATTTCTTCCCCCTTTGATTAATAGAGCTGTGAAGAGAGAATAGTTTCAGGGCACTTGCAACTTCAGGCAGGAAGGGAGAGTGGAAGTAGTCCCATTTTGTAAATATGCACAGATCGTGTTTTTGTTAAGCTCAGTACAGATGCATACATGCGCATGGGCCTCTATCGGTTGACATAAATGATAGTGGAATAAGGAATGATAAAAAATATGCTTGCATCTATGGAACTTAAAAGTACTCAATATAGTTAAGAAGTCTTCAGAAAACATACAGTATATTCTAGTATTAGGAAGTCTGCTGTACAGGCTCCATAAATTCAACTGCTGGTGAACAGTGTTGTTGAATGTTGAAGTAAATATTCTGTTGGCTTTTCCACATTGCCAAACCTATAATCCTGCGCTATCTTAATGTTACAGCTAGCTGACAGATTATTGATACCAAAAATAAACATAATGGGTTCTGCTTAAGGACAACGTATAGAAGCAGTTTAACATCATCTAGGTGTACCGTTACTGGTTTGGTTTGGGCTGGACTGGACTGGCCACTGAAACAAATGACAAGTGCTCTCTCCCTCCGCCATCTCCAAGGACAGGAGGGAGAGAGAGAAAGATTTATGAGTTTAGAAGAAACTAAACTACTTTAATGAAAATATTAATAAAATAATAAAAAGAAAATAATGACATATATACAAAACTGGATCAAGCTCCCAGGATGATGACCACGTCACCAGCACGCATTGGGAAAGGACTGGATTCAGTGATGGATGGGAACTGGATTCCGGATCTGCATTCAGGAATGCACAGATCGGGATCAAAGGCAGACTAACTCTGTCTAGAGTCCTCCTAAGACACAAGGAATGTAAACAAGAAATAATTTGACTTCTCAGTATTTGATACCATGCTGTTTGGTCATGCTGCAGTACTGAAAACTATTTCTTGTTGAATGGTCCAAGTTATAGCTTCAGAAGTGCTCATCTCCACCAGGCTGTAATCATGTTTTCCTGGTGCTGCCTCGGAAGGTGACACAATACAAGGTGATGTGTACACCTGAAACAATGTCACCTTTGATGTCACAGTCCCCCCTAACAAGATTCTTAGGGCTATTAAACTCTGCCTGGTCTCTCTCAAATACCATTTTCCAGTCACATACAAGTTGTTCCTAGTTCTGATGTTAGGCAAAGAGTGTGTTTTAAGAAAGAGTTTTCAGAGGTGCTTGCACCCCTTTCATTCCCTTTCGTGCCTTTAGGAACTTTTCTTAAAATACTTTATCAGTGTTAACATTTGTTCCTGTGAATGTTTTTGTCTATACAAGTTAGTATTAAGAACCAGTCTCTCTTTATCAGTTTTAGTTCTTTAATTTCATAAATTGTTCAAGACAGTGTTTTCCCACCAGTGTGCATCAACAGGTTCTATGAAAACACATTTCTTTCTAGTGTACTTATTATACCAAGAGCATACCATAAAGTCACATTGCAGTAAATTGGCACAGTGAGTTTTGCAAGAACAGAACTGAACTTGTTTAGAAAAAGTGATTAACTATACTCATACATTAGCATTGTGACAGCTCTAAAAACGCTGCTTCCAACTCCTACAAAACACAGTGAAAAGACATCCCCACAAGAGTTGAAAAACTATGCACGCACAGAGGTCAGTATCATAAGAAGAGAGTAAGTTTTATACAAGTGAAGCAATTGGGCAGTTAAAAGTATTTACACTTTTTCCTGCTTATTAGCTAGACAAACATACAGTAGTCAGGTAAAAATATACTACAACTCTAAGTCCTGTGACATGTAAGCATTTGTTTTCTAGCTGGAATTGTCATCTTTTGAAATGTGTTACCTGTCAATACTGGACAAAACTATTGGCAAAAGTGTTTTAAATACTTTTAAACCAAGATTAAAGGGACTTTTATTCCACAAAATTTAACTTCAAAATACTATGCTTATAAAATTATTTAAAACTTTCAGCAGTCTATAGATTTCATATGCAAAACTTAACAATCCTCTTTAATTTTTATTAAAAAAAAAAAAGACTCCAGTGGTGTCATTTGCTTTCAAAGGCAGAATCTTTTGCTGGCTTTTCAAGCTCGCTCTCTTCACCACATGTCCTAGAAACAAAATAAAGTAACATTAATGACCATATAAAAACAGAGAGCAAGACTTATTCCAGGTGAATTTGTACTGTCTAGAGTAAGTGATGCTGCTGTATGTTCAGCAGATGAGGAGGGCTGGAGAACTGAAGCTGGTAGTGATGCCAGCTGTCTATCATTGCTCTTACACTGACAGCCCCCAAATGCAAAGCTAAGCTGGTAGTGATTAACATCATATTAATGTATGTGACCAGCAACATCCAGAATTCAGTTTGTGTCCCATTCAGGCAGTCCTCCCTATTCTGCTGTGAAATATGTCAGCTCTCATGGAGAAGCACTCTGGCTTAACATACCTTACCAACTTTTCTCAGTCGCCAGAACAATCCAGTCAGTATGTGTCCCAAACACTAAGGTAACCCCAGGAAGCAGTATAAACTTTTACCAAATGAGAACAGAAAGATGTTCTTAAGTGCCAACCACTTCAGAAGTTTTAAGTTACACGAATTCTGTTTTCCAAAATTTTGGAAGTACATCTTCAGAAAGGTATGGACATGTCTTGCATCTAATTATCAAAGGGAGTAAAGTTCAGAACTGAATAGACAGCCCTATGATTTGAGAAGTTTACGAATTGTTTGCTTAAGAGTTAGTAGTGGGAACTGCAGGGGTGTTTTGAACGTTGATGACTTGTTCGTATTTATTTTGCTTACTAATTTCTTACTTCTAAGAAACTGAATATTGCAAATAAAAATGTATGAAAAATATGGAATG